AAGTACCCACTATTAGGGACCATATATCCCCAATTAAGGGTACAAGGAAGGTCCTGGTAGATATATTATATCTTTCCATATGTGCCATTGTTCCATCTCTTCCCTACCCCGGCCCTATACTACATTAAGGGGAACTTTCCCAAACCCCAAACACGAAACGTATAAACGTCTCAACCCTTAGTGGGTAGGGTTTAGGGTTTCGGGCTTTTAGGCGCCCATAAGAATCAGGCTACCCTAAACCCTAAACCCTCAACCACAAACCCTAAACTCTAAACCTGAAACGAATCAGGCTACAGTCTTGCAAGTAGAGGTGACTGATTGGCGTTGGAAACTCCGCCAGCCCTCAACCCTAAACCTTAAACCTTTGAATCCCTGAATCCTAAACCCTGAACCTTGAAACCCCTGAGCCCTGAACCCTAAACAGCTAAATCCTAAATTCTAAACCAAAGCTTCCATCGAGAGCGGGACCCCAATATAGACCCTAATCTGCCACCATTGCACTTCTAACAGCTGAAGGGTACCTGAAATAAGAGCCAGTGTTTAGGGTTTAGCGGTTGTGGGGCGTATTAAGTACCTGAAATAGGAATAGAAGGGATTTTGCCGATTTCCAAAAAGTTAAGCGTCTAAGGGCCCATCAGAGTGCCAAGGAGCTACGAGAATCCGTATTGTATGCTGGACCCTGTGGAAGCGTGACCCCTACATGTTGGCAACCCCCCAATAAGCTTTGGGAACAAAGTAACTCGAACCTGTAGCAGAGAACAGCTTGAGGCCCTCAACGAAAGTGGGCGTACATGAAGGTGAAGGGGACTTTTGTGGCTTGCATGTCCTCACGCAAACATAGAACCCGGACAGGGCCCCACATACTAACTCTCGTTCCAAACCCTGTCCCATCATGCTTCAAAATCGGGATGGGTATAGCAAGAAAACCTAAACCTTAAACACCAAAGCCTCAGCCCTAAACCCTAAACCCTAAGCCCTAAACCCTAAAGCCTAAAGCCTAAGTCCTAAACCTTAAACCCTAAACCCTAAGGCCTAAACCGTAAACCATAAACCCTAAAGCATAAACAGCCTTTAGGAATCCCAAAGCCGAAGCCCGAATTCTGAGCTCCAGCGCCGTAAGCTTTGGCCACGACCCTCAGGCAAAAGACCGTGAATATTTATATATATATATATATCCTGCAACTTCCTTCGAGAACTTATTTGTTGTTGTTTGTGTTGTTGCCTACTTCTTGCTTCTTTGTACTGCTTTCCGCGGGTTCGAGCACAAAAGCTAGTTTCCTAAATTTCGTACTAGTTTCTTGGGTTTGCATGGAATTGCATGGGTGTGCGTATGTGCATGCTTGATCTGATAATGAAGGCCCATGGCAGCTAGCTTTAGGATGAGCACCCCTGGCAGGCCCCTGCAATATAGTGCACATCTCCAGGAATTCCGGACCCTTTACATATGCGAGCTATAGTCTATAAACTCCTGGTATCCCCCGTAAAATTCCGTATAATTAGTCCCTTATTGGATTCTACAACTCATATATGATTCTATCCAAGCCTACCTCAGCCCAGCCCTGCACCTTTCCTATACCCTGAACGCTAGATCGAGCGTGTACACCCGGCCCTTATGTACTTTCAACCCTAGCTGACAACCTTAACCGGATATAACTCTAAACCTATGCTATAGACCCTGCATCATCTCATCGCATCCACTGATGGCATGGCGACTGCCTCGGCAACAAGGTGTGCTTCCCCTCTCTTTTAGCTTGCAGGATATGGCTTACATGCAGTTGAAATTGGAGCGTTTGACTTTGGGGCACTATGTCATCTTGCAGGGCTCAAGTTGATTTGCTTGGGAAGCTCAATCCGTAGCTGCCAGCGGGGGGCATGAGTACGGTGCTTGCGCAACAATGGGAAGCTTGCGAAGAGCTTCGGAGGCTAGCCTCAAAGCTTCAGTTGGCTGCTTTACTGATTATAGATTTACAAGGCATGCAGGGTACGTGGCTACTTGTGCATTGAATTTTGATCAGTTTTGTTCATCCTAGGTTCAGATCATGGGCACAGGAACTACTCGGGAATCCATTGCCCTCAATGAGACGTTGTTGAAAGCTGCGCTGCAGCAACTTGGTATGAGGCCTTCTGTTCAGACGTGCATGCTGCACATCAAGTCTTTGTACGACTTGATGGAAATTCCCATCCCTGGCTTCTTAACTTGAATAAGCACTCGTAGCAGTTTCGACGGCACATGGCCATACTTCATACCTATAACCTTTGCCCACAAGGCTGCGCCGTTTACAGCCAAGCATGGAGTCTCCGGCGAATGATATCTACTTTCAACTTGATTGTTCGCCGAGGGCATGTTCCCAGAGAGCAAGCGCTTGTTAGGCTCATGAGCGCTGTGGGCCTAACAGTGGAGCCTAACGTTGGCACAGCTGCCGACGATGGTGTTGATCATGGTGATGAGGATATGCTCTCGGACGGTTCAGGTGAATGTGAAGGTGTAAACGAAGGTGGGGAGTCAGAGTGCAGCTGCACAGAAGATGAGCCCGTTCATTGTGATGAGGAAGGGGATGGCAACTTTACTTCATATAATTGAGCTGCAACATGCTTTCATATTGCAGAAGCTTCTATGCTAGCTAGCAACATTGTACTAATAATTAGTTTTCTAGCTGATCTAAGGTATGACCCCTGGGTCATCAAATGCTGGATATGATGCTGCTCCGGAGGCTCGTTGTCAGTAGCACGCAGCGTTATTGGTAGATCTCTAGAATTGACCATGCATGTGCTGGGAATTGGAAGGCCAGCGCTCCTTCGACCATGCCCAGCAAGCCTATGACCCTGGAGCCTGCAAGCAGTGAGCCAGCGTCTTTGCCGACCCCAGCAAACACCCCCCGGGATGAGTACATTGCGATTGTGACGCCCGACCCCAAAGGCCCATTTATTGACCTGCAATCTTAGATTTCAACGCCCTTGGCTTTGCAGGTCCTATGCCTGCTTTGACTACGCCTCCGAAAGTGAATGTGTTTGGGCAGAGGACTGTGCCTGATGGTATGGCGCAGGTAGCTTGATTGCAGCATGTACTACATACAGTCCAGACTTATAAAATAAAATGCACATTCGCGAATCTTAGGCTAAGGGACTCGAGCTGCTGGCCCAACTGAAGAAGATGGGAGAGCTTCTTGAATTGCAGCGGAAGCTGCAAGTTCTTCAGGAAATGCAGGCAAATACTGGAGTTGCCAAGCCCAAGCAAACCCACTCCGAATGAAGCTCAGCTAAATTAATTGTATACAAGCTATAGCATACATACCTTTAGATTTGATCCCTGGAATTTCAAAGCTGTTGCCACACATCTGCTCATGAGGCTTGGACAATGTTGAGACTCAGCCCTGGGAGATGGCAGCCGCTTCTCCTGCAGCAAGATGGTCTGATTAAGGCTCTTCAGGATGTATAGGGTTTAGGGTCCTAGGGTTTGCACATATATGTATATCCGGGGATCTTAAGTAGCTTCAGGTTTGATTTTGGACGTCAGGTTTTACGCTAGCAAACCATCAGCTAAGGCCAAGTCCAAAGCCAAAGCCAAGATATCCAAATCCACTGCTGCCTCGAGTGATGATTATAAAGCCAGGTTGAGCCGCAAGAGTGCAGCTTACCACAGGGCCCTGAAGCAAGCCCGCAGCGAGAACAACGATGAGCTTGTTTGCAGGGAGTTGGCGCGAGAGGCTGCTAGCTGGCATATTCAGATCTATTCTACGTACTATTACGAGCTAGTAGACTACATCTGTGGCTTTGGCTTATCTGAGGCCTACAAAGCCATGGATTGAGGTTGATCTACGAAGTAGATTCCCAAACGATCGATTCTGAGCGCTTGCCCTGCAACTTGGGAATTGTGAAATATGTGCCATAGATGCGCTTCAAAGCCGCTAGCTGAAATGTCCAGGACAGTGCTTTAGCAGGGCAACAAATTATCCGAACCTTGCAGCTGAAGATCTGCTGCAGGGCCATTTACATGCTTGTGTTTGTAGACGCAAGGCTACACGGCCGGGGATCAGTGCCGAATCACACGCAGCACCAAAAATTAATGCAGCACATCCCTGCCCTTTGAATGGCCTATCACTACCCTGAAGCTATTCCCTCCGCAGGTGAAATCCCTTTCCAAATTGCTTCGGCGAGGACATCATCGGGAAGTCTGGCTGGCTGAGTATTATAGGGGTATATAGGGTCATACAGCATTATAAGCCCTAGGGTCTATAGGTGGTATATATTAATATACGGGTAAAGGGTTCTGGGTTTAGGGGTTAAGGGTTTAGGGGTGGGCCCCCGAATTGCAGGTGTTATAGGTCTATATAGGGTAGAGGGTTCTGGTGTTGGGGGTTTAGGGTTTAGGGGCGGGCCCCCGAATTGTAGGTATAAAGTTATATTATATAATATTAGGGTTTAGGGGTGGCCTGTCCCACCATGAACCCCATGCATAAATGCCTTCCCTATAGAAGCTTGACAGTCCTGTTGCATCCGCTCGCACATTCTTGGCGCGAAGCCTGAGAGTTGAGTGGGCTAGTTTTCATGCTATGATCGGTCATCCTAGCCAAATAGGGGCGTGCTTGAGGTAATGGGGCGAGGGACTTTTGACACACTGCGCTACTTAAGTTGTGGATCCATTGAGGATTTGTAGCTGCCTTTTGCGCTCAACAACTGCTTGCCATTGATTGGATCACGCCCTCGACAGCTTCACTAGCTGACCTGGCTGAGTGCCTTGCTACAATTCATAGCCCTAGCCTGCCCTAGAGCTCTTACTGTGCTAGCTTACAAGTAGACCCCTGTCATCATAGTATCCTGCCACAGGAATGCCTGAAGGACCTAGCGATCAACATATGCGTGGGGTCGACAACCTGATTCCTCGCCTGATGCAGGCTCAGGCCCCGAAGGCGCCAAATAGGGGAATGATGGGTTATGTGTGCAGCTAGATCATGCGTGCAATATTGTAGTGCGACTCTGTGGAAAGCTCATTTTGGGCCAAGGTGTTCATCGCCATTGTGTTGTTACTTCTATGGTCTACAAATGTTTCGCCGCAGTACAACTTAGTGGAGCTGTTCTCTGGCGAGGGATGCATAGCACGTGTCTACAGGGAATCTGGTCTGTCTGCGGTTGAATATGATTTCATCCACGGCCGATCCATGAACTTTCATTCGCCATCTGGGTACGCGCTCCTGGCCATGCATATAATTATCCCCAAATTAAGGGCCTCCAACACTTCCCCATACAATCTATAAACGTACCCCCTGGAGATCTGAGATCGGTATGTACTTTTCTACCAACCCCAACTCCTTCATGTTGCCTAGGCTTGCAATCCACACAGTATTGTGTTTGATCCCCTTCGGACTCATGGTTGCTGGACCCGACTGTAGCTCATGGACTGTGGTAAGCCGCGGAACCTCTTGGAGAACACCAGTCAATCCTGGCGGAAATCTTCAGCTGGAGTGGGTAAGGAGCAACAATCTAGCCATCAGCCGGCTCATGGGGAGGTTTCAGGTAATGTTGTGTTTTTCGCCATTCTGTTGAATAGGCGTAATTAGCTAGTAGCTAGTGCGCTCTTGAGTTTTTGTTCTGAGGCTAACGCTTCTCTTGATTCTCTGCACATCAATGCAAGTGCTGTGGATTGTGGAGCAACCGGGATCTTCGCAGTCGGTGTTTTCCCGGCATTGGAGATTTGAAAAGTTCTGCAACCATATTTGTTGGGAAGCTTGCCTGAAATTGTTGTGGGGGCTGGTTTTGCAGGGGTACATGTCACCTACATGAAGCCAAGGTATGGTTTGAAAGATTCTGGATGATGCTTCATGGCGGAGAGTGCCCAAAAAGATCTGTGGCGTGGTGTAACAATTATGACATGGCTGCTGGCCTTGTGACTCAGCTCATTAACTAGCACTTCAATCCGGTACTACATGTTGGGGCCCCAGTAGACCTTAAGGCCACGAATGTGTTGACCAAAGATGAGCGGCTTGCACGCACAAGTGTGAGGACCACCCGAAGCTGAGCAGCATCTGGCTAGTGCAGACTTGTGAACATGATCTTATCTAGCCTATAGTTATAATTTAAATCATATATAGGGGGGGGTGTTGTAGACTATTCTAGATCACGTTTGCAAGTCTGCTAAACTTATGCTGCATGCAATTATAAATTCTATCTAGATGCCTACTTTGATCGATTGCTCCAATCTAATCTTGCTAGAGGCCGATATGAAGCAAGTGATGGCCGGATGCGCTTTCAGGGCACGGCAGAACTGAAAGGAACCTCGAAGCTGGTGCCGCAATTAAATGGTAAACCCTTGGAGAAAGAAAGGCCTAAGCCTCCAGTGCCCAAACTAGCAGCGCCCAAACAGCAAGAAAGCTTAAGCCTGACAAGCCCAAGACCTTCGAATCATCCCATATATAACCTAGAGCTTGGGAATCCCATGAGCCCTAAATCCTATATGCCTTAAATCCCCAAAATCCCTATGTAGATCCTAAAAACCCCTAGACCTTGGAAACCCCAAAGCCCTTCACTTCCGCCGAGGGCCTACCCCGAAGCCTTCGCTCGATGCATTTATGACCTTCACATGGGTCATGGGCCGAGGCATTGCTTTACGTTGAGGCAGAAACCAGTTCTGGATGGGAGGCTTACTGACCAACAAATGTTCCAGAATCTTGAACTGGGTGATGTCTGAACTGGGTGATGTCTGGAGGGAGGCTCAGCTGGTGGATGTCTTTTTCTACTTGCTACAGTCCAAGTCACTAGTGATTCCAGACACGTGGCACAAGACGATAATGGACTTCAAGCTGGAACTAGAAGCCTACGACGCATGGTTGCAATCCATATGCTCGCTTGTTCTTGGGTGACTATAGATTCAGTCTGCATGGAGAAAGTATGCTTGCATGAGGTGACAACGCGGGATGATCTCCAGGCTTTTGCTGAGGGACCCTCGGCTGCTTGAGGGTAGAGCCTTCAAACCTATTTAGAAGGCCAACCCGGGGCCTCTAGATATGAATTCGGAGGAAAAGCTATGCCCGCAAATCTCTGAATTTTGAAAAATGGTTGTTTTTCGGCAAAAATCGTCACCAAATCGTACCGCAAAACCGCCGCAATTTGCACGCAAAACCGCCGCAAATTGCACGCAAACCGCCGCAAATCCAGATTTCTGACTTTGCTACATTTTCGAAACTTAACGATTTCGATTGTTTTCCTCGAATTCCGGTTCCTGTGCCTAAGGATCTGCAGCGCCCGATGAGCTTTGATTGGGTGCGATCTGATCTTGGCTGCAGACCATAATTCGACTGCTGGGTTCTAGAAGATCAGCCTGGCTTTCCCAGCTGTTGTGCCACAAATTCAAGACTCGGTCATGGAAGCTACGCATTCCTAGACAAATCTTCGGGAGCTGACTGTCAACATGTTAATTGCAGCTTGAACACGCCTCTGCATGCACTATTGCTGCTGTGTGCAGAATATCTCGGACCAGCTGCTGTACCATAGTCATGGGGTCTCAGGAGACTCTACGAGGCTGCCCAACGTTTGAGCAAGGGCTAGGTTTGGTAGCTAGCCAACAAGCCATGGAGTCCCCAGATCTGCAAGTGCAGATTGCAGCAACCTTTCTTAATTGATCCGAGCGCAAATTGTCCTATCACCCAGAAAACCCTCGAATGCCGAATTCACTAATCTATAATCGAAGGCTGCTATGGCCAGAGTTGCCCAACTTCAAGCTGAGCTGGGTGCGGATGGTGGTATGGCATCGCCAACTTCGCTGCCTGGCTCACCAGGTTTCTCAGCTGAATTTTGGGTTTTGGGGTTTCGGGTTTGGGGTTTAGGGCTTGGGGTTTAGGGTTTAAGGGGTTTAGGGTTTTTTCCGCACCTCCAGAAACCTGTTGGTAGCTAAAAGCTGGGTTGTGGGCTCAGGTCCCATGGCCATGCATTTCCCGAAAGCAGCTGGATTCTTTGTGCCTGGGCTCGGCGCAGCCCCAGATCTGTTGTCCACTGCGAATACGTTGAGGTTGCAGACCCAGAGCAGCTTCGGTTCAGAGACACAGGTGCTACCAAGTACACCAGACCCAAAGCAAGGCTCCAGGTTGCAGCAGATCCCCCCGGGAACAGCTGAAACCACCCCAGGAACAGGTGAAACCACTCCTGGAACAGGCCAGACCACTCCTGGAACAGGCCACCCGGCTGCAGCAACAAGCCAAACCGCAGAAGCAGAACTGCCCAAACTAAACACTGGGTTGACTACCGGGATGGAGTCTATGGCAATCCAAGATGGTAGTCCTGTACAACCACGCCAGCTTCAGCTGCCAAGCACCATGCCTACCATTTAGGGATTAGGGCTTTCAGGGTTAACGGCTTTAGGGTATATGGGTATTAGTGGTTTCTAGAGACGTATACGTAGGTTAATTTTGTATATGGGATTCAACTAAGGCAACCCTGCATCGCCGTGGCTGCATGACCGGCAACCTTCAGCGAGTCAGTTGGCTGAAGTCCCTGCAACACAGCCCACGCCCAGTGACTTACCACAAGAACCAGCAGAGGAGGTGGTTGTGACAAGCCCAAAAAAGCCCGAGACAACCCCAAAGAAGTCATCGAACAGGACCCCTAGGAAGTCCAAAGCAAGCCAAGGAAAGTCCAAGGCAATCGCAGAGTTGCCCAAACCAAGCCCAGGAAAGTCCGAGGCAATCCCAGAGTTGTCCGAACCAAGCCCAGGAAAGTCCGAGGCAATCCCAGAGTTGTCCGAACCAAGCCCAGGAGGATCCCATGTAAAGGCCCTGTCGAGTTCTCACGAGAAGCCAAGCCCTTTCGTGCGCAGAGCACAGCCCCTGAAGCCTGCAGCCTCCATGTACCAGGATGGCACATACTGGAAGAAACTAATCTTAATTAAAGGCCCACACCCATAACACATAATCCCGCAATCCTTCAAAGCCCGATTCCCTAAACAACAGAGCCCTATCCAAGGATGCGCCGGTATTTCACACCAAATTCCAAGGGCAAGGTGACTGCGAGCCAGGCGGCCCAGGATCTGTTCTCTACTCCGGATGGAAGTGCCCTAGCTAATGTACACTGCGCGTGCATGTATTTACAGTCATTTCTGCTAGCTACTTGTGTACCTAAGAAGAGAAGCTACGACAACTTCTTCTCGAACATGGAAGCTTTGATGGTGTGGAGCTACAGCTGAAGACCTGGGCAGAGAAGAAGAATGAGGAAGAGATAGAGGGCGGATGGCATACGGAAGTGAGCCTTCAGATGGAGAATTGGACGGAGTTTCCTAGTCGCATTATTAGACATGCATGCCTATAAAAGTAGATCCGAAAGCCTTCCAAATTGCTAAGGGACATGATCAAGAATTCCAAGAAATGGGCGGAAGCCCGAAACTTGATTCGGAAGAATCCTGTCCATGGAGCAGAAGAATGGCGGATCCCTACCAAAGAGACCTTCAAGCACACGTCTACGAAGGGGCAATCTTCCTCGATGACAGGGACTATGGACCTGGAGGACTAAAACTACAAAAGCCTAGCCCTGCACATTCCTGTCTAACCAACCCCTGCCCTTAGACCCTTGAGGACCCTACTGGTGAAGCTCTGCTGAGCAACAAAGTCAGCGCGGACGAGCTCGTCACGCTGCTTGCTAAAATCTAAATTTATTATTACCTATAGCTATCTATTTATCACTAGTAGCCTGCATGAGTCTGCATGCATTCAACTTAGGAGTCAAGGGGCCACTCTGGACGCCCGTGCAATGCAAATGAATGCCGCAGCTAGAGCATCTGGGTCCGGGAAAAGCAGCCTTCAACTACCGGTTCTACAGGAGAACTCCGACCCTGCAGGTTCCTCGTACTATATAAAGCTAGCTAGCAGATTGGCGCGCTGATTTCATAATTTGGGTGCTACTGCGCTGTGTCTAAGGTCTGTTGCCTGTTTATGTCGATGTTGTGGGAAAGAAGCTTGACAAATGCGCGGAAGCCAAGGCCTGGTATAGGGTTAATAGGAGTTTATATAGGTTTAGGGTTGAGGTTTTAGGTTTAGGGTTCCTAGGGTATATAAGGTTTAGGGTTGAGGACATTTAAATCCTGCGTTCACAAGCGATTGCGAGGAGAAGCTTGAGAACATCGGTATTGATCGGGCTACAAGGCAGGAACGGAACCAATTTATAGGTAGCATATTCAATCGATCCCAAGCTATTGCCTCTGATTGCAGGTTGGCTACAGAGATGGAGGCCCAAATTGCCAAGTACCAGACCATCTATGAGGAAATCTTGGCAACCCAGACCCATGTCATGGATCACCCCTCGCGGTTTAAGCCTTAAAAGATGTTGCTGACCCATCATTGCCTCGTAGACCCCAGCTGGCCTGCCCAGGTCCTGGAAGGAGCGCTTGATGCAGGATTTTGTTGCGGCTACCAAATGTGATGTGGCGATTAACAACCTCTTGTCGCGAGCCAAGCCCGGGGTCCCAGAAATGAATTCATGAACTATAGTAGGTAGATCAGCCTCGCCAGTGATATTCCATGTGCTTAAAATGTGTACCTAGGAGCATCAAAGCCCCTGCTGTCAAGAAGGAGAAGCCAGACAAGCCAGCACGTGGCAGGGTAGTTTCGGGCAAGCCTAGCAAGTCGGTAGGCAAAAGCATGAAGCATGAAAAACTTGCCAAAACGGGCAAGCAGGCAAAGGGTAAGCGAGCCTGTGCTGAAGCCTCTGAGCCTTCAAAGAAGCGCAGGAAGGGGCGCTAGGCAGTGTACAGCTTTTTTCGAAGCTAGGATCTGAGGTGCTGTGGGGTTACCATAGCCATAGCGCAAGTTCTCTGCAAAGCTGGGTGCAAGAGTCAACCGACAAGCTTTCCGTAAACCCTATGCATGTACCTGACTAAGATTTGCACACGGGGTACTATGCACCAGCCAATTACAATGCTTGCTGCAGTGAGCATGAGACTTGACTTGGGGTGAAAAGTTGCAAGCGCGCGCGGTCCTCCTCGAAGAATTGCCTGCGTGTACACTGAACCCACCTGGCGCGGCGTGCCAGGTGACCGTGCAGTTCGAGCTCTACTTGGGAGGGGTGCTAATGATGGGCAAGGTGGGCCCATCACATGTGGGTTTGCTGGGGTGTAGAGTCTAGAGAGCTGACTTAATTAAGAATGCATGGAGGTCGTGATCCGGATTCTGATTCGGAGCTGGCTGCCGAGCTGCTGCATGACTACATGCACGGGGCCCCTTATCTTAAATTTGCATTTCGAGGTCCTGCAATCCCTGGTTTATGTGGTTCATGCCCCAAGCACCATATCCATTGGTCTAAGGCAGAGTCTGCCTATCGGACAAGCAAGATTGCCAAAATGATTTGTCGAGTTCGCAGACGTCGACCCTCGAACATCTATAGCTAGGGTCTATTCGGGTGTAGGGAATCATAAATTATAGTTTTCAGGGTTTAGGGTCCATAGGGTTTAAACATATATATCTAGGGTTTTGAGGTAGTCGGGTTTGTAGGGTTAGGGTTTAAAGGGCTTAGGGTCTTTAGGGTTTATAGGGATCGATATATAGCCCCAGATGAACCCCTAGACTTGATCAGGAGGCAGAAATGATATGCTTCGCAAGATAGCTAGAGCTGGAACATCTCGGACGAATGTGTGTCGCAATCTCCACCGACTTTTGCATGCATCTGGTGCACAATATCCTGTTAACATTGCCTCAGTCCCTGTCACTATCAGATTGCGGAAGCCCAGACCGCATGTTGAGATTGTACAATGGCCTATGATCCGCATTAGTGACTGGACAAAGGCAATCCTCAAGCACCACCCGCCTTACTTACTAGGGGGCTGCAACCTGGATGATGAAGCTGGATGGGAAATGCAATTCTCCGCTTTCTGGCATTCCTACCGCTCAATCGACCCAGAGCACCCAGCATTTGAGGTTTTTGATGAGCAAGCTTTGTCGAGGGTCATCCCTTATGCCCATCATGGGGATGAAGGCAAAGGATTGCGAAACAAGCCCTTTCTTGTTGAGAGCTTCCAACCCTTGATTTCCAGAGCTGGAATGTTTGTGACAAATGAAAGCGGGCATCTTAGCTGCACGCAAGAACCATGGCTAGCTACCCTGGTGTTTCCCGACAACTTTATGTTGTAAGCTCTGGTCCCCAACGTCTAGGCATTCATTTACAACTCGATTCTTGACGTGCTGTATATCTTCCCACCTCTTTGCTGGCGACCAGACTCTTCAGGATTTGCACACGGCGTTTGCTGAAGATGCTCGAGATGTGTTCTACAATGGGATAGAGGTACCTGGGTCCCATAACGTAAGATGTTCATCAGCTAGTGTGGTCAGGATAGCGTAGCGCTAGTGTTAATTAAGGGTTTTGTGGGAAATTCAGGTGAATGGTGTGCGGCTGCACCTGGCGGCTATCATGGGCAAGGGCGATTGGAAGTACCTTCGTCAGGTTCTGTAGTGCGAATCCTAAAGTATATGCCCTATTTCGATCTACATTATAAACCTTAAACTACGGGAGGAAAGCCCTAATTATGGTGTATCCGGAACCCTTAAAATCTGAATGCCCTTCATTTGCTGACCTATACTAGTATACCGAAACCCTGCCAGGCATACCGACTTTCGACCGGGTACATCTGCAAGGACAAGTGCCACCTTTGCGAAGCAACGGATTCTTCGTTGGGTTTGCAGGTTGTGGGGCAGCGTTTATAGGGTGTTCAGGGCATAGGGTTTATCGGATTATAGGGTATAATGAAGTATACGTAGATCACCCTAATTTCCGTAAGTGGGATGGCCAAGGACTGGCATGTGCTTTCGAAAGATGCTATTTGGCGCACTACGATTGCGAACAGAACTACATCTCCCCACAAAACTGACGATGTGGGCCTGCTGCTAATTCCTGGGATCAGAACGCAAACAATCAGCACGGACCCCATGCATACGTTTCATATCGGATGGGGCCAGGACCTAGCTGCGTCTGGAGTGATTCTGCTGGCGACTGTTGGGGCCTTTGGAGAGGGGGCTTTGGACTCCCGGTTGGAGGTCGCTTACGCATCTTTTATTGCCTATTGCTCTGCCCATGGTAAAACGACAAGTTGTGACCGATTTTCAAAGCAAACCTTCGACATGAAACTGGCCTCAATTTGGATCGAGGTTCAGGGTTCATTGTCGTCATTGTATACATTGTCGTCGTCGTATACATTGTCGTCGTCGTATTAGGGTTCTGGGTGTGTATATGTACCCCATATAACCTTAAACCCTAGTAGCTATGCCCTTATACCGAGGCTTTCCAAGTGAATGGGCATTCGTGGTTCCATCTTTTGGGTGTCTGAAAGGGTCTGCTGTATGTTCGAGAATGACTGGGGGTCTGAAGGGTCATGTATGTAATGGTTCCAATTGACTGGGCTAACTTTGGGGGGTCCGAAGGGTCTGTATGTAATATATGGCTCCAAAATGACCGGGCTAACTTTGGGGGGTCTAAAGGGTCTGTACGTAATGGTTCCAAAATGACGGCCGGTTGATTTTTGGGTATAAGTTTGGTGGATTTCTACAAGCTGCAAGGACAAGCAACAATTCCTGGCCGACATCGCTTGGGGGAAAAGCGTATGATACATCGCTTGTTTTGGCCTGGCTTGAACAGCACTTGGCGGACATGGTAGCTTGTTTTGCAACAGCAGGATAATCCACCCCGAGAGCTTAGGGTTTAGGGATCAGGGCTATAGGGTTGAGACTTGGGGCGTGCTAACCGGGGGTCCTAACAATTCCACACAGGCGATCCAGGATGCTATTGTGGACACATTGCGCTACACTGTGCACTGTGCGAACTTCTACTTCCGCACCAGTAGAGAGCATGGGGTCTTTGTTCCTCATGAAGTCCGGCTGTTGGTAGCAGCAGCTGGGGAGAACATGGTTGAAACTCGAGCTTTGATTGCGCAACCCTTTGGATAGTAATTTCCTGGCGAAATCGTTTTAATTCCTAATGATCATAAATCAGCTGAGGAAGGCTTTGGTATCCTCGCTACCCTTGCAAAGCAAAGAGGCCTGAAGCTTTTCAGGCTACGCCCAAAGATTCATCTCAGCCAGCATCAGACCCTGGACTTATTGCGTGGGGAGCACTTGGCCCTCAACACTTTATGTTACTTAACAGCATTCAGACCCCCAACCAACAAACCTCAAGACCCATTCTGAGTAACTTTGTGATCCCTAAGGTATGGCATGCTGGCAGGACGAGGATTTCATCGGGCGGTGCTCACGCTTAGCTCGTACTTGCGGCCCTCAAAAGTTGACTACTCGGTGTATGCAGAAGGCTTTGGGAATGTACAAAGAACAGTTTGAGCTGGCGAGGCGCTGAGAAAAACCAGGGCCCTGGCTTTTCTGCGAACTTCGATGTTCTCGATCATGACATCAGGAATCAAACATCAATCGTCATCATCATCTGGGTCTATAGGGTTTGGGGGTTTAGAGTTTATAGGGTTAAGGGATGTGATGCCACGACCACTTATTCACATTTCGTACTACTTCTTCACGGGTTCGTAGTACTTTTCGGGGATACGAGCACTTTCCATGGAAATGATCAAAAAAAGTAGTGCGAACAGAAACGAGAAGAAAAAAGTTGTCAAAGGAACTTCCAGGATATCTGTATATGACATTGAGCTAAGCTATAGTCTAAACTGCTAGTGCCCCCGGAATAAACCCTATAATAGTCCCCTATATATTTCCTTATATAACCCCCCTTAAGGACTTTAGATTCAGATTGTAGCTCATATGCTTTACAAAGCATGGCTTCCGTACTAGGCATCGGGAATTTGGTGGATGGAGAACGCTTCCACCATCCAGGCACCTCATGTTACTGTCATTCCTAGGCTGCAGGGTTTCGGGTTCTAAGGTGGTGCAAGACCCTAAACCCTAAACACTAAACCCTAAATGATTTCCTCCATCCAAGGCAGGGCTTAGTATCCTACATTGAAGTATTTAGGAAGCTTACGGCAAATCGACAAACCCTTCAGACACCCTCGGACAACACACACCTGCTTGACCCTCAACTTATGTGCGGATACCTAATTCGCAAACCTTGGGCCCTAAGCCCTAACCCGTGAATGCTAAGCCCTGAACCCTACGACCTAAACCATAAACCTTACGGGAATTGGATCCCGTGAGGTATTCACCTACGGTTGAGGGTTCACGGTGTAGTAAACAAGGTCTAGGGTGTGGGGTTTAGGGCTTAGGGCTTAAGGTTCAGAGCTTGGGGCCAGGGAATGAGGGAATGGATCCTAATAGTTCCTACGTACTCCCGCAAAAACAATACCCACCCTATACCCCAAAATCCTTCTTTTCCTACTCACCACTAGCAAGTCCACGTAGAGCCCGACAACACCTCCACCTAAACCCTAAATCCCAAATCAATGATTCCTACACAACTCAAAGACCGTGCCTCATCCCGCGGGTGGCCACTGCACAGAAGGGAGATTCCGAAAAATGCTCAGGGACCTTTCCCTTTTGCTCGGAAACTCCCAGAAATGATGCAAGATGTATTGGGCAAACTCGAGCCTTCTTGCAGCGGATGCGGCTTGTCTTACCAATGGTAAGAAAGGACTGCTGGGAATGGATCCTATAACCCTATCTATACAAGTGTCCCCAACCCTGAACCCTAAACCCTAAACTCCAACCCTGAACCCTACACCCTAAACCCTAAATCTGCACTCCATGCCTTCGCTTCTAAATCCTTAGCCCTAAATCCTAACTCGCACTCACCCGACGGTACCTTTAGAGTTGCTGATTTAGGTTCGCCTAGGGTTTAGGGCTTAGGGGACCCAAAAGGGCTTTAGGGTCTAGGGTTTAGGATTTAGGGTTAGAGTTTAGGATTTAGAGTTTAGGGTTTGCCATGGCGTAAGGCCTCAGGGCATAATTTAGGGGTTTAGGGGCCAATGATTTTTCTCTCTTTTTTTTACGGGGTCATTTCTCTACTATCCGAAGCTTAGCAATGATTAGGGTTTAGGGTTCAGGGATATTGTTCCGAGAACTGAGCATAATATGGAAAAGAACATGGAAACTTGATGGAAATGGTACCCTAGACCCTAAGCCCTGAAACGGTACGTACCCGATACCATCCTTATACAAGGAATCTGGAACTACAATATTGGTGGTTATCTCAGTTATTTCCATCAACTTCTATATGAGCTATAATATTACCTCCTTAAAGGGGATTATATAAGGTATTATATACGGGACTACTAAAGGGTGATTATCTCTATCAATGTCTACATAAGCCCCGTTTCCACTATACAAATGTTCCATCTTCTTTCCCAGCTGCTGATTCTCCATTATCGGGGTAATGCACCTAAACCATAATCCTTAAACCCTAAACTCTAAACCATGATCCCTATATGTCCCCACTGCTATGTACTCTGCCAGGCTTGAAGATTTGGGGTTTAGGTTTTAGGGTCTGGGGGCTTATCATGGGTTCCCCGAATCCCCCCTCAATACTGCCCCCCTAGGTTAATTAACCTTACTTAGGCCTAACTATCCCCAATCAACCTCAATTGAGGGGGAAACCTAGGGGGGTAGTATAGACGGGGGGTAGTAGGGCAATCCATGAGCTTAGGATTCAGGGTTGAGCTTGGGCGCCATCTACAGTCTAGGGCATGTCCTGGGCCACGAAACGAATTTGCAGAATTCTGACGAAGTAAGGTGATCCCACCCAGTGTAGGGCGTAGGATTTAGGGCCTAAAAGTTTGAGGTGATCCCACCCACTATTCGTGGTGTAACATCAACATCCAGCGATGCTATAGCATGAACATTATCCTAAATCCTAATTTTAAAGGAGTCCTCATTGCAAGCAGCCAGGGCTTCCTGGGAGCTGAAACAATCCCGCTACATCCCAAACTAGGGCCAGAGTCCTGGCTAGGCTGAAGGGGACCCAAAGTAAAACTGACCTTCCGAAGGAGGACTCCACAAAGGGGATAGGGTTTAGGGTTTAGGGTTCAGGGTTTAGGGTTGAGGGTTTAGGGTTTTATTCTGTAGGGTAATGGAGACCCATGATTACTAAAACTCCCTCCCTTTAAGGGCCTGAATACTAGGATCCCTATTATAATCCCTATCAAAGGGAGGGGGCTTGTTAATCAGGAGTCTACATTACTGTTGATAATAGAAATCCTGCATGACCTTAATATACTATAGTATAAGAATTCCCAAGGTATATGGTACTTAGGGTCATGCAGGATTTTTAGTATCCACCGTAGGAACCCAAAGCGCTTCGTCCCTCCCAGCCCAAGCCTAAACCCTGACACGGTTTGAGGTTTGGCGTTTCCCTAACCCTAAAGCCCTCACCGTGTCTAAATCCCTGACCTCAGTACACAAGGCTTAAGCAGCCTTACCTATACTTTTGCAAAGGTTAGATGCATAGCTGTTGAATGCTTAGGACCCAAACCCTATATCCTAAACATGACAAAACCTAAACTCTAGGGACTTTAGGAGGGACCCCTAATAGGGACCCTTAATCCCATTACCATATATAGCCCTAAAATAGTCGATATAGAACCCCTATATCCCTAGGTAGTCCTCATATTAACCCCCACAAGCCACAAGGGTCCCTTGTAGGGGTCCCTCCAAAAGTCCTTAGATAAACTGACAACACCCTGGGCGTGCTTTTTCCGACGCAGATTTTCGCAGTTACAGGTGGTGGGCTGCAGAATCCCCCTAAATTCTAAACACCCCAAGCTCTACACCCTACCTTGGCTAAACGCATCTCCCTTACAGGTTTAGGGTTTAGGGGATAAGCTAAACCCTAAACCCTCAACCATAAACCCCCACTCAGGGGCCTTGCAGCAACCCACGAGAGGCGGGTAGTCCCCCACACATCACGAAAACTGACCATGCGCTTTAGCAATAGGATCCAGTCCAATGGTAGGTTTGGGGTTTAGGGTTTAGGGAGCCCATGATAGGTAGCCTCCCCCCCTGACTTAATCACAATTCAGGCCGAGCATATGTTGTTATTGGGAGGCGACAAGGGGCGTTTTTGGCTCGTCAGAGCAAACCTCTGTAGACCTCCTTCAAAAGGCCCGTCGTCTTTCTAGAGCCCGTTTTGGAGCTTCATGTCACTTAGGGGGAAGAACCCTAAACCCCCAACTCTAAATCCTAACCCATGGAGATCCAGGCATTCAGAACGTTGCTATCCGATCTCAGGGCGAGCATGCCGTCTTGCTCGGCCTCGGGTGCACAGAAATCGGAGCTTCTCCAAATTTGGGTCCGCTCTCAGCCGGCCATAGGGATGTTGGCAGTATAAGTAGCAGCTTTTTTTAAGTCTTGGGATTTCTGGGGTCGAGGTGTTGGGCTTAAACATCAGAGTTGATGGCTGCTTCTCACAAGTCTTGATCCCTTCTTGGTGGGGTCCTGCCTGCTTTTTGCTCTACTTGGAGGCCCATGGGTTTTAGTAACCACTTATAACTTGGCTTATAACCCTACTTATAATCCTCCTAAATGGGCTTATAGGGGGTTACCCCCCAATTATAAGTAGGGTTCTAATCCCAGTTATAAGTGGTTACTAGGTCCCATGGGCGTCCAAGATAGACCCTAGGGCTCCCCTGTTGGCTGGTATACGATAATCCATTACCAAACAGCCAGAACAGCCCTCAAAGGGAACGCCCGTGGGTAAGACGAAGATCTCTACATCACCCTAAACCCGCCTAAACCCTTAAACCCTAAACCCTTAGCCCTAAACCGCTTCTCCTGGCCCGCGGTGTTGCCTATAACCTACCCGAACTTGAGTTCAAAAAAACACTGTAATACTCTCATATTTAATCTCCTATATATCCGGTTATACCTCCTATAATTTCTACTACCCCTGAAGTTCTGCAATGCCCACAAACCCTTCCGTTCGTGGAGGATGGTTCCAGGTTTCTTCCATCAAGAATATCAACCCTGGGGCTTAGAGTTTAGGGTTTAGGGTTTAGGGTTAAGGGTTTAGGGACCTACGCCCTGAACCATGTATGAGCTTCAGTCAAAACTTCCCCTGAAATTAATGGGTCTCTTATGGCTAATGACCCTACTAAATTACAAGACCCCTATGTTCACTGTTTAGCGTCTGTTAATAAGGCGAATATGGACAGTAGCCCACATAACCTGATTCCAACACATCACCCCCAGTTTCCATTTAATGTTACATGCTTGTTCCATTTGATTCTCCGCGATTGAGGTAATATCCCTGAAGGGATAATCTAAACTTTACCCACCCTAAACCCTAAACCAGGCAACGTGGGAACTTTTTTGTTCGCGCGGGCATGATGCGGATTTCAGCGGTAGCGGCGGAGGCGCATGAGGCTGTGGCGACCTTGAGGGGTTTACAGGGCTGGTTTA